CTCGATACTTGGATAACTGTATATTTTTGGTGTACTTTTTGGTTGGCCGAAAATTTATGATGAAACGTCCAGTACATGGCGTGACGTCGTAAATCTCGCGAATAATTTATGGAAAGATAGCTCACAGTAGTATTTGACGCACACATAAATAATGTTTAACACTGGAAAACGCTACGATAATAATACGTAACGTGTTTCACGCAGGCGTGCTTCTGTGCGACGAGATGTATGACAAAATTCCTAATAGATAAAATCTCACAACAATGAGAGAGAGAGAGAGCGGAAAGCGTGAACGCGTCAACGACCCGCCGATTACTTTTTTTCGAGATTGAAATATATGCTCGTTGTGTTTACACGGACTATAGGTTTGTCCTCTGTTTTTCAATACCACGGATTATCGTGTTTTCGAAATCTGCCTGTCGAAATGGAAACGTCCGCAGCGGGCATCCGCGTGTTTCGCGTTTGCTTGACAATTCAATCGACGACGCGTTTTGCCTCCAGCCTCCCCGTATCGTATCGTGTCGTATTTTAGCCGTCGAAAGTGACATATTACGTGTACGTATTATCGCTCATTGCGTCCTCTTTATTTGCTCATCGAACAATCGCATTTGCAGATTGCACGAATACACAGTCGTCGCGGTGATGGAGACGGGATGAGTAGCAGAGCTGGCAGCCTCCGAAATGAGATGAAAACACACACCACGTCACGTCCCGGCACGTGAATCTACAATCCGTTTGTTCTCTTTCAATTTTCCAGTCTGGCGTGTTAAAACTGGATTAGTAACGTCCGCATCGATCGATTCGCCGCTGTAATTTCGCGGCATAGCCGCGAATGTAATCGGCTTCGCGCCAGCTATCGAAATCGGGTCGGTATTGAAATAAATGTCATCACGAGAATCTCTCTTCCGCAATCGCGAAAGAAACTGCCCGTAAAAATCGCAGTTAACGAATAATTCGTTTAATTGGGAAGAGATGCGAGCTGTTTGGAGGGATTGGAGAACCTGTTTGTTCGCACGGAGCGTGAGAGCGTGACTCTAACAACGCGCAGCATCTCCAGCCAACATCCCTTATTGCGCGGATCTATTTTACCTCAGCCTCGCCGACGGATCCGTTTTAATACAGGGCGCGTATTGATTTTCGGGGAACGCGCGACGGCGGCGGGTGAATACACCGCGAGACCGTCGGCTGGCGAGGGGAACGAGGGGCGAGCTCTCTCCACCACCTGCGGTGCTCCTTTTTCCTGTCGTTTTCTCATCCCGCCACTATTCTTTGATCGTAACGCAAGACACGCGTTCTTGCTCGCCGTGGCCGTTGATGAAACTCGTCAGGGCATCTCGGATACGCGTTGCTGAGCTCCGCACCGTATTGTCCCACGACGGGGAAACGTATTTTCCTCCGGAGAGTGTACACCGGCAATTTTCTCTCTTTACCCTCCGGTTATTCCCGGAAGAACTTTTAGAATCTGCGCCCTCCACGTAGGTGGATGGTCTTGAAATCGAGTGCTCAGATAGAGGAGATATTAGGATGCCGTGTGCGGAGGAACTATCTCGAAATATCAGCTGCAATTCACACTTTGAACTACCCTGCGATCATCTTGTCGAAGAGTGTGGTAACGAAAGAACGATCGTCGCCTGAAATGTCGCGAGAAGTTTCGCTAGTTGCCAACAACTCTCGGATTAGAACGCATCGATTTTGTCCGTAGACGTGTCGAGACTCGAAGTTAAGGCGAATGAATGGTTGAATAAATGGAAATTCAACCGCTATACGGGAAACAGTTTGTCCATGTCGGAGTGAGTCATTAATCTTCCTCTTCGCGATGGCTTTCTAATGCCAATCGCACCGTGCACGCTATGAGTGCGGAATAATTCTTATTTGATAGAAAGTCGGATATTGTTACACGGGTTTGATCGTCAATTGTCGCGCAATTTGGAGATAAATATCCTATTTGTCGAATGTGCAAATTTGTTCGATCGTCTTTCTTCACGTCTCAAATTTCTACATGAGACGTCTCGCCGGTTCATTCTTCTCGCATATCAAGCTCTCAACGTCGACTGAAGTTTAAAGTTAGAACGTTCGCATAGAGAAAGAGAAAGAGAGAGAAGGGAAGAGAGAGAGAGAGAGAGAGAGAGAGAGAGAGAGAGAGAGAGAGAGAGAGAGAGAGAG